CGTTGAACCGTAGCAGACAAACGACCTTGTTATTAACTGCCATGTAGTTTCATACTTTCGCCGATCAAATACATTCTTGGTTTGTAAACGAATTTCATTTATTCTAAGAAAACACATTCTCTCTCTCTCTCTCTCTCTCTCTCTCTCTCTCTCTCTCTGTCTCTCTCTCTCTGTTTCTCACTCACTAGTTTCTTTATTAGACAAATAAACGTAATAGACTTTTGTAAAATTTATATATGACAGTTTAATATTAGTCAAAAATTTTTTTTCTACATCTCATCTTATTATCATTTCAAAGATCTAGATTGTATTAAATTTTATTATTAAAAATATATTACGTCACTTCCTTTATAAATATTATGAATATCGTGTAACACTTTAAATATAACCATTTAAATATAACCATTAGATATAACCATTAGATCATTCTATTCTCCATTTGATTCCTTTTCTAGTTTCTTTCTCTCTCTCTCTCTCTCTCTCTCTCTCTCTCTCTCTCTCTCTCTCTCTCTCTCTGTCTCACTTATATGTATTTATATATATATATTTTTTTTGTATTTGTACATTTCTCTCCCTTTCTTTTTCTCTTTTTTTAATTTTCTTTTTTTTTTTTTTATATCACGATAAATAGCCTTATGTATATATATATATATATATATATACTCCCGTAAAAGAGGCGGTATATTGCGTTCGGAACAACAGGATGAAAATTTCATATCAGCTTCTCGCACTTTAAAGGAAAAATCGTTCGACGTCGAATATTCGAACATGGGCGAAATGAAAAGCGCGTGAAAAGAAAAATAAAAAAAAAATTAAAATAGATAAGGAAGGATTCGGAAAAAAAAAGAAAAGAAAAGAAAAAGTAAAGGAAGAAAAAAAAGATTAAAAATAAGGAACAACGATGAGTACGACGACAATGTTCCTTGTTAGAAATTCGAAGCCGCTTATTCCTCCTCCTTCCCCTCTTCCTCCTCCTCGTCCTCCTTCTCCTCCTCCTCCTCCTCCTCTATCTCCTTATTCTCCTCCTGTTTACCTGACAATCCCTCACCCAGCCACCCACTCATTCACTCATTCATTCCCATCTATCTCTTCGTTTATTTAATAATACTAAATCTTCTTTAATTAATGATAAATAAATTGTTCGTAATGATCGAAGCTCCAATTAAAGATCAATGAAACTTTTATTAAGAGAAATTGAACTAATGAAAAATTTAATTCCTCGGGATATCGAAGTTCGTCGGTGATTTTCTTTATTTCCTCTCCTTTCTTTTTCTTTCCTCCTATCTTTTCTTTTTTTCTTTATTTCATTTGCGATTTCATGAAACTGTAATCTGTCAATTCAAATATTTGCCAAAGATAAAGATGAATCAAAGTAAGTACTTTGATAGTTGAAATTTCTCACTGGTACTTTATTTTATCGGACGCGAATGTTTTTTTGCCCTTTTTTCTCCTTTTTCTTTTTTTTCTTTTTCCTTTTTTTGTTTTTGTTATTACTATAGAATAAATTTTTATTTCGATCGAACGACATTGATCAAATATTAGATATAAATTATTCGATAGTAAAAATATTAAGTAAATGAGGAATGAGAGAAATCATAGAGATAGATTAAATAAATCAAATAGTAAATTATGCGTATTTATATTGTGTTCGTTACGAATATTTACGAAAACAAAAAAAAAAAAGATCAAATAAAATCGATAAAATTTGTTCAGTTTACTTATTATAAATTATAATGACAAGTATAATGTCTTTTTTATACGAAATGTTATAAAGCATAAATATAATGATAATATATAAATTTAATAATACCATGAATGATGTATTAAATTATATTATATATATATATATATATATATATATATATATATATATATATAATATAATATAATATATGAGCCGTTTATTTTGAAAGTGGCCTAACTCCATTTGTCAATTTTTTTCCGTTTGCTATAATTACATGTACAACTTTATCATATTTATCAGTAAAGCATTTCAGGTTACTTATATTCTGAGCAAATACGATATAATTCTTGACACATAAGTTTTCAGAGTTAGTTCAATAATTTAACCGTTTATTTTGAAAGTGGCTTAACTACATTTATACTTAAATCAATGAATGAAAATGAAAATTTTAAAGTCCTGAATTTATTACCAACGTCGGGGTAGACCAAAAAAGTTCGAAAATATTGTATTGACACCATATGTATAAAAATATCAGACAAATTACAACAGCAAAATTCAAGGACATAATTGACCTATTACGATATATACCACCGGAACATCATGATTTCTTTAAATCCCTTTCACACACACAAAATCTAGATGAGTAGTAAGATATGTAAGATAAAGTAAAGATATGTAAAATAAATTGAGTATTGTTTTTTTTTTTCAATTTGAAGCATTTTAAATTATATTGAATGGACTTGGGCACCTTCAAATTTTATAATGAATCTGATTGTTAATTTTGAAATTGGCCTAACTTCATTCTTGATAAGAAAACGCATATTATTCACTTAATAATTGCCATTATTTTAATAGGAACTATAAATTTAACACCCTTAGATACACTTAAGTAGTATGACTCATTAGTATCCTATAAGTGTATTTTTAAATTCATTGAAACGTAAACCCTTAAATATCTCGATTTGAAGATAAATGGAGTTAGGCCACTTACAAAATTTCAAAATAAATATATATATTAAAATTGGTGTAACAAAGTTATAAAAAATTTCACATGAAATCCCGACAGATTGTGTAAATTATGACATTAAAATAAAAATAAACATCCTAACGTTCTTAATTTAGATCAATCTTAATATACAAAAGAATGTTATTGATTCAAATATAAAATCATTAAAAATATTGCAGGATATACGTATACCTGTCGACGCGTCATCAAACAAGTCGAATGGATATTTAATTAATGAAAAGAGAGAGAGGAAAAAAAAAAGAAAAGAAGAAAGATAGATAAAAAGAGATAATTCTCATTTCGTGTTTCTCGCATTGTTACAGGAAACAAACTGATATGCGACTGCAATCTAGCGTGGATTTGGGGACTAAGGAACGAGACGAAGAATACAAAGTTAAAGGATGCCCTCGAGGAACTCACTTGCTTCCTCGAAAGTAATAATACTGCAGCACCTAAGATCAACAATGACGACCTAGAGAGAAATCAGGAGCACGAAATCGCGCGAAATCCTGGTAAATTTCACTTATTGTTATATTCCTTCCTCTTCCATCTATTTGTCTAAGATCTAATACATACGAAAAGAGAAAGAGAAAGATATATATATATATATATATATATGTATATATAAGAACAAAGATCATCGTAGAAATATTATAAATTATTATTTCGGCTTTTAACATCCTTGACTTACAATCTATTCTTTATCTCTCTCTCTCTCTCTTTCTCTCTTTCTCTCTTTCTCTTTCTCTCATTTTCTTTCTCTCGCACTTTCTCTCTCTCTCTCTCTCTCTCTCTCTCTCTCTCTCTCTCGCATTTTCATAAAAAGTACATTCAACGATCGACGGCAAAAGCCTCAAAACTTTTAAAGTTAACAAGTTGAATTAACGAAGTTATATAAATATATGTATATATATATATCTCACACTATCTCAGTTTCTTCTCTCACTTTCTCTCACTCTTTCTTTCTCTCTCTCTCTCTCTCTCTCTCTCTTTCTCTCTCTCTCTCTCTCTCTCTTTGTCGTCTGGTAATATAACACGGGAAGGTCTTTTGATAATTTTCTAATTTCATTTTCAACGATGAAACCCTACGTGTCAAAAGATAGAAAGAGAAGGAAAATGAGAAAAAGAAAGAGAGAGAGAGAGAGAGAGGGAGAGAGAGAGAGAGAGAGAAAGAAAATAAGTGAGAAAGATAGATATATGGGTCTCGAAGGTGATCAAAGTTTCAAACAATATTTCTCACAAACCGCTTCTCGACTCCTTTTTATCCTACCCATCCCGATCCTTCTCTCCCTCCCTACTCACCCACTTTTCATCCCACTGTTATATAAGTTTCCTTATTTCGGAAGATTCTTATATATTGAGATATCTTATATATATATATATATATATATATATATATATATATATATATTATATATATATTATATTATACATATATATATGTATGTTCACATTTATGTATGTATGTATATATATTTATGTGTGTGTATGTGTGTATGTTTTAGATACATATTTGGCTGATAATCTGAAGAATGGAAATAACGAAGACGAGGAAAGTTATTTAAGTGACATTGCTAATGAAAATTATGATAATTTGGGTGAAGAATATGAGGATTCCGAATTGGATAGTAATTCTCAGCCTAAGGTAAAATTTTCTAAGTAAATTTTAGTCGATGTTACTCTCTCCCTCTCCCTCTCCCTTTCTCTCTCTCTCTCTCTCTCTCTCTCTCTCTCTCTCTCTCTCTCTCTCTCTCTCTCTCTCTCTCTCTCTCTCTCTCTGGTTCTTATATGCAAACGTGAAGATAACAAATTTGAATTAAAAGCGATTAGGTTGATCCTTGTTTCATTATTTAAATGAAGAGGGAGAGAGAGAGAGTCACGTATATACTATATAATGAGCTGATTACATTTTGGAGTTGCTTTGACTCGACGTTAATATTATTTTGTCCCTTTGTTGTTTGTGATTTTAAATCAGCTTTGATGTTTTTCCTTGTCTTTGTTTCTTTATGGTATATAGCATTGTTGATATTAAAAGATACGAGATAAGAATATCGTATAATTATGATAATTATTTTTATTAAATTTAGTAATAATTATTATTAAATACAATAATAATTATTATTAATATTATTATATCTAATAATAATTATTACCATATTAATATAATAATATAGATTTATTAAAATAATATAATTATTAATTATTATATATATATATATATATATATATATATATATTAATATAATGTAATAATAATAATTGTTATTACAATATTATTATTATTATTATTATTATTATTATTATTATTAT